ACCAGACAGCAGCCACCAACTAAATTAACAGCTGATGCTGGGCTACAAAGCCAGCCGGCCGGATGCGAGCGGAGTAGAAGATCTTTTAAACCGTACTTCAGTCAAGCATCTTCCTTTTGCTTCAATGCAATCAGTTTTGGAAAAGATAAAGCAACTGCTTTCGTTTGGGATGACCGAGACCCTCTGGGTCTTCCAAAGCTGGTTCCTGATAACCCTGCTGTGAAAAGCTCTTCGAGCCCAAGCGCCGCCACGTCAGCTTTATTGCAAGACCCACAATCTAATTTACAAATGCAAAGTTACTGAAGTACGCCTAACCAAATCGCGAGCTGCCTATTTGCATGGGTGCGCCACGCTCCTGCCACTGCCTCCTTTCACTAGTCGCTATTTTTAATTTCCCCTCCCCGTCAGAGAGCATTGAAAGCAGATGGGAGCCACGGCCGCTTTCAGACCACGCTCGCACACAGGAAGCAAGAGGAAATGCACATTTATTTCTGTTAATAATGTCCCTCCCGCCCAAAGCTCACACGCAGCTCACTTCCTTCACAAAGTGCACCAAGGCTCTTCTGATGCGGGGAGACGTGTGCGCCCGTGTAGCTGTCCCTTTGGGCTGCTGAAGTGCGTGGGAAGGCACGGAGCCATGTCAGTGCTCGGATCTCAATGGTGGGGAAGGTCTGAAGAGGTGACGGGCTGCGGGAGGCCATTAGAAAGGTGGGTGGCCCTGTTTGCACCCTTTTCCCCCCTTCCCCTGAGGAAAGGCATGGAGTGGTTATTGTTCCTGCGTATTGGTTTTAATTCAAGCGCTCAGAAATGTCAGACTAGGCACCTCCGGTTTTGCTGGGAAGATCCAGAGAGGCAGACCATGGTCTGCGCGTCTCCTGACCCTTTGAGAAGGTGCCCAGGGTGCCAAGTCTCTACCTAACAGTTTTCTTCCCCTACTGGGTTTTTTTTTGTTTTTGTGGAGATAAATGAGGATTAGCATTAAATTAAAATAGCGCAGAAAAATCTCTTGCTTTGCCTTTCAGTCAGTCAGGTCTGCTTTTGTTGGTATAATACCCATAGCCTCCCAAGCTTTCCATTCATCCAGTGGCTTCCAGGAGGACACAAGTCAAGCTGTGGATTTCTCATGTAAAGTAAAGAAAGCTGGAAAAAATCCCAACATGTCAGGCCCTTTGTGTTTCCTTTAGGGATACTTCATGGCCAAACATGGATACCCAAGGCCAGGGCATGAGTCCAGCCACTGGGCCTGAAGAAAGCAGCAGGCTTTCTGTAAAACTAGACAATTCATTCAAGGTGTCTACAGATTGCTTTAGACACCCGCTTTTGGACCACAAAGCATCAAAAGGTACAATGCATCAAGAGGTACAACGAAGCTGCTTTTCTTGGCTCCACGGGTCACCACAAAGCCTGGCCACGGCTGCTCAGCCAAGAGGTCGGAGGGAAACTGCGTGCAAACTTCCTCTCTGCTAACTCAATGCAATGGCTGCAAGGCCACGTGTCAGAATAGTTGCGCAGAGGCCACCGCTTTGACCCCAAACCTGCCACTGAAATCACAAAGTGACTTTGCACGAAGGGCAGATTTTCTTCTCGGTGTTTTGGGGGAAGTTAGTAGCCTCACTGGCTGTTAGGAACATCTGCTGCTGGCCAGCAATGGCAGCGCATCTGGAATGGGAGACATCCAAGCACTTTGGTGGGGGGGGGGGTTGCTTGCCTCATCTAGATGGATCCTACAGAGGAATTTAGCAACACGGTTCTTCAACGCAAGGTGGAAACCAAAGATTTGTTTTTTGGAGCATCTGGCAGGAGCCTCAGGCCCTCAAGGCGGGCCATTCTTGCCCCTCACCCCCACTGACACAAATCCCTGCTCCTCTGCTAGGATCAGGAGGGCGGAGAGAGAGAGAGGAGCCTCTTCCAGGAGATAGTAGCTTTGTTTGGCAGCCCCACCATCATCTCATGATGCCTCCGCACATGGAAAAAACAGCAGTCCCCACTGAGGTGGGGGCAAAGCAGTGGCAGCTGGACGCCTACCTTGATTTTGGACTGGGCGTGCATTTGAGAGGATCGGAGCCACAAGAGGAGAAATAAGGGTTTGGCGGAGAACACACGTGCGCTCCCCTGACCTAGCGCAGGAGCAATGGAGCCACACAGCAATCATGTGTCTAGCAGCTCTTGCCTGTGCCAGCACATTAGATATGATGGAAACACAGGCCACCTTCAAGCTGCATCAGCTACTGTGCCAGCAAGTCTCTGGCCCTCTCTGATGCAGCCTGTGGGGTCCTCTTCCAGACCAGACATGTCTACAAGGCCACCGTCACCTTTTGGGAATAACCAGGATGGGGTTTTCTAGTCCTTGGACTCCGAAGCCAGGGCCCACTAGAGACAAATACGCTGCGGTGACACCCAACGGGCATCTTTGATGGTAGGCTGCCTGCCCTTAACCAAAGGATGAGAGTCCTATGTCAGGACGGGCCAGCGCACTCCTACACCATTTAGGCAAACCTGGATGCTCTCACTTCCACAGACCCTCCTAGGTGATTTCTGCTCTGATCCCGAGGCAGGCAAGAAAAGAGGCTGCCATTACAGCAATGCCGTGCTCCTCGGGAGAGCCCGAACGGGTCTGGAATAATGCACTCGCAGGTATGCAGAGGCACTGGGCGGGCGAGGAGCGAAAGGGTGGGCAGTGGGGCTGCACTGGTCTCCAAGCGTGGTGCCAGGCAGAAGAGTAGCCTCCCTGAGGTGCTGGGAAAGATCCTCTGGGCTCAGGCTGCCACACATGACTGGCGAACGCCTTGCATTTACGGTGCTGCATTTTGGAAAGCTAAGAAGATGCCTGAGTTTTTAAGAGGTGGCAGCTCAGCACTTTGGGAATGTCAGGGCATTTAAGGCAGCTCAAGTCAGGCACCCCCAAAACTGAGGCACCCTTGAGCATCAGGGCCCACAAACACTTCTATTCGAGACAAAAAGCAGGCAGGTGGGTGCTACTAAGGTGGATCAAGATCCCTTCCTAGGATCCCCCAGGACAGGAACAAAGCTGGGCCACACATTGTGCAACAGGAACCGCCCATGTCACAATGGTTTGGCTCAGCCCGGCAGGTTGAAGCATCTGCACATTTGCTACCTTTGCATTTCTGCAGGCGGGGAAGGGGAGGAGGATTCCCTTCTGCTCGGATGCGTGTGCACGTGCGTGTGTGTGCGTGTGCGGGGGGGGGCCGTTGTACTTCTCTTGCCCTTCAGGAGTCTCCTAGGACCTGCCCGACAGCCACACGCGGAGCCTGTGCTGCTTAGAAACAGCCCATGGAGAGATGAAAGCCCCTGTGGAAAGCAAATACCTTCCATTTTAATGGGCTACGTCCTCCCTACCTTTTGCTAGCACGAAAAAGTGTTTTACAAGAGGCCACCTACAATACTACGACAAGCGCTAGATGCCACAGACGTGGCACGGCTCCCCAGCCTGCTGCATGACGCATACCCCATATTCGCTGGAAAAAGCATCACAAATTTCACCCAGGAGAAAGGTGGCTGAAAGAGTCAGTGGTTTGCTACTGGCAGGGAGCCCCGAGAGGCAGATATTGGAGGAAACTCAGAGCCAAGCACCTGACTGAGAGGGGACGAAGCTTCAATAGCGTGACTGGAAACATCTCATGTTTGAACGCTTCGTGGCATCGACTTAAGCAGCATCTCTGCTCAGAGAGAAAGGTGCCGTCTTTACGGCCAGGCAGACCACGGCGGCTGCTGCTCTGGGACAGGCTGGGGATATGAAGGGCACGTGCTTGGAGCACGGAGACGGCTCAGGAAGCAACAGGCGGATGCAACGTCTGACTGTGCCGATACCGCAAGAACAACGCGGTGGCACTTACTGCAGAGGGGTGCGCTAGCCATTTATCCTCCGATCCATCCCCCGTGCTAGCAGAGCCACCTATCACGAGCCCGGCCTTGCCACTACCAGACCTGGATACTTTGAACTTTCCCCCCAACCCACATCCATGGGCAAAGCAAACGTGGTAGTGGCAATGCTCACATCAGGTGGCTCAGGCCACACCAGGGCACCTGTGGTAGCAGCTGTCCGTCATCAGACCGGCAGCAAATTAAACAGGTTCTTCACTTTACTATTTTTTCCTTTTTTTTTTTTTTTTTTTTTT